AAATAACAATGTATCATAAAAAGTTAAGATAGAAGAGAAAATAATCAAAGAGAGTTCGCCGGACGAGCTCCTCCGCTGAAGCTGTGACGCGGGCCACGGTAGGAGCGAGATTGCTCAAGACGAGTCATCCTCTCGTTGAGCTGGCGAACGTCATCTCGGATGCACGTGAGAGTATCGAAGATCTTCTTCACCCAAGATGGTTCCGGTGCTTCTTCTCTCGGACGAGTCCTCCGTTGACGAGTGACGCGCTCCGTGGCTCGACTACCTCTGGCTTGAGATGACTCAGCTTGATTCTCGTTTTGGCTTTCTTCTTCTTCTTCGGCGACGATCAAGTCCAGATTTGGTGCAGCATCGCCCTCCTCTCGATACACGATCCGGGAAAACTTGGCTTCAGTGATGAAACACGTCTTCTTGACCGGCACCTGAGTGTCCCGAGTAAGGTCTATTTTGCAATGAGCAAGGATATGCATAATGGGGATGGCAAAACGAAGATGGGAAAAGCGAGTGCCATCGCTAAGTGCAACGATAAAGAAGTGAACCCAATCAAATTTGACATCGTTCAACAGGACGTGAAACAAACGAATATCGTCCTTGTTGACAACGCCATGGTTCGAATCACGGGGCAACAAAACATATGAGAAAATGTATTGTTGGACGCGTTGAATTAAAGTGAGATTAATGACACTCGGGTTGCTAGAGTTTCTAAACTTGAGGTCACGATGATCTAACCTGAGTTGTCGCCATATTGCCTCATCTTGGAATGTTTCATCCAAGTTTTCGGTAATTTCACCGCGACGAAGGCCAAACAAAGAAGTCAAACCGGCACCGTCAATGAAAACGGTTTTGCCGTCAACATAGGAAATGAGAGATGGCGAACCTCCCTTAGTGGTACGAAGATTTGCATAAAATTGGCGTATAAGATTTGGACAGAAAAATTCATACGTCAAATGAATGAAACGAAGCAATCCTTGCTGAAGGAACATAGACTTACTCGGGGCATAGGTCGCCGATTTGAAGAGGTCCTTGTTCAAGATCTTGGGAGAGACGATCTCCTTCGTGAGGAAGATGTTGTGGAATCTCTCAACTGAAGCCCCAGTGTTGAAGGCGAGACCCGTTTGAATGTGAATGTACTTGCTCCCTTCACGACGCCATGGCCTCTCATTCTCCTCTGCCGCCGTTTCTTGACCCGAGGAAGCGTTCTTACACCTTGGCATTCTTCCTTTTTGAAATTGATGAAATTTGGAAAAAAATGGAAGAAATTTGAGAATTTTATGATGAAGATTGAGAAAAATTGAGAGGGGAAGAAGCTAGGGTTTCTCTGATTCGAAAAGAAGGAATGGCGAAGAAGACGAAGACTGGGTGTGATATAAGGCAAAAATCGACTATTAATCGATTAATCACAAGTATTTAATCGATTAGGGAACACAGCCGAGGCTAATCGATTAAGTTAAGTTTATTAATCGATTAGAAGTAAGCAGAACCAGACGTCTCTTTTCAAGATATTAATCGATTAAAGAGAGATGGTTAATCGATTAATATGGACAGATGAGTCTAATCGATTAATTGAACAAAATTAATCGATTAAAAGGTGAATCAGCGCTAAAGACGTTTTTGCATTTTAATCGATTAAAAAGAAACGAGTAATCGATTAAGAAAGACAGAGGCGACTAATCGATTTCTCTTTGAGGAATAATCGATTTTGTAAAAAAAATCAAGTCCAATTCGGTTGAATACCAAGGGAAGAGATATCTACAATAAAAGCCCTGCAAAAAGAATTTATCGCGCCTCCGACGCTCAAATTAGTATAGTCAATAAAAAATGAATTAGTTCATAGAGATATCCAAAATGCCAAGTTCGTTCCGAATGTGGAAGAAACTCTCCCTACTAATGGGTTTCGTGAAAATGTCAGCCAATTGATGTTTCGTTTCAACAAACTCAATTGTGACATCTCCCTTTTGGACGTGATCTCGTATGAAGTGATGCCTAATTTCTATGTGTTTAGTCCTGGAGTGAAGAACGGGGTTCTTCGATAGACTAATGGCGCTCATATTGTCACACCTAATTGGGATGTGATCAAGTATAAGGCCGAAATCCACTAGTTGTTTTAGCCAAAGAATTTGGGCACAACAGCTTCCTGCAGCGACATATTCCGCTTCAGTGGTGGAAAGTGCAACACTAACCTGTTTCTTACTAAACCACGAGATTAACGAATGACCGAATAAGTGGCATGTACCGCTGGTACTTTTCCTTTCGAGTTTGCAACCTGCAAAATCCGAGTCGGAATAGCCAACAAGATGACATGTCGAACCTTTGGGATACCAAAGACCTACGTTCAACGTGCCCGCGAGATAACGCATTATCCTTTTGATCGCAACCAAGTGCGACTCTTTAGGACAAGATTGATACCTAGCGCATATACAAACGGAGTACATGATATCCGGTCTACTCGCGGTATGATAAAGTAAAGAGCCGATCATACCTCGGTAGCGTTTGATGTCCACCTCTTTACCTTTTTCATCCTTGTCGAGATAGCAAGAGGTGCTCATCGGTGTGTCAATGGATTTGGATTCGGTAACATCGAATCTCTTAAGCAACTCCCTGCAATATTTCGTTTGACACACGAATGTCCCTGCTTTGCATTGTCTAATTTGTAGCCCAAGGAAGAACTTTAATTCTCCCATCATCGACATCTCAAATTCACTTTGCATCATATCGGAAAAATCCCTGCACAAAAC